ACAGACTTTCTTTGGGCGTAAGGGTCTTCTCTTCCTCGACGATGATAACTTTGCCTTTTGAGGGCTCTTCTCTCTCTATTTCAACCATGTGACAGGCAATGGTAGTGTACTGTTGGAAGAAATCCTTTAGAAAGTACTCGTGCAAGGAGATAGGAACGTGGCTCTTGCTCCATAGGTTCCCTAACGTATGTTGGCTTGGCAGCTCTTAAGCTCCTTTTGGGCTTCCTATTTTTGCGGGGACGATGATTTCTCCCTTGTCCCACATTTGGTCGTGTGGCTTATGGTTTTGGCTTCCTTGTCTTTTTGTAGGTCACCAAGGTTCATCATTCTTCATTGTCGGTAGGTGCATCTTGGTCGCTTACCCCTAACGATAGTTGTGTAGAAGGTGTTGTGTAGCTTGAGCATGGACATGAGTGGTCATGTGTCACTTGGAGAGGCACGGGATTGAAAGATCCAAACCTGATCGTATTAGTGTGTGTTGCGGTCGTGTCTCCCTGGTCGAGTTCAATTCGCCCGTGTTATGCTGGCTTCATGATGAGCTCCTTGAGAATGAAGCACTTACCAACAGGATGACTAACGATACGATAGTATTTGCAGTACCTAAGATCGTTAACACAATTCGTCTCTTCGGGGGGCTTGCATTTGGGTAGCTCGATCACCTTCTTTTCCAGTAAGTCACCTACCATTCCAGCCATGTCAGAGTCAGGAAAAAGGTACGTCTTCTGCTCCAGTTCCCTCAAGGTGTTTTTGTACCTGTCTTGGGTACGATAAGGCTCACCTCTCTTCATCTCTTTCATTTTGGTCTTGGATGAGATCTTGATGAGTGCATATGAGGTCTTGATAGGGGTAGTGTTGACGGTAAAAGCTTCCTTGGCGGGCTTCTTCTCAGTCTTGTCCATCTTCGGAGCAAACACCCTGTTCTTCTTGAAGTTGATGATTGGCTCATTTTCCCCATGATTGGCGATACTCAGCTCCCTATCGTGGGATCAAGTTGCCAACTCCTCAAACGTTCTCGGTTTTATGCCTTGGATGATGTAATATAACCCCAAGTACATGCCTTGAACACACATCTCAATGGCGAAGGTTTCAGAAAATTGATCTTTCCAATCCAAACTTAATGAACACCATCTATTGATGTAGTCGATCACAAGTTCATCCTTCCGCTGCTTCTTACTTGTCAACTCCAGCATGCTTACTGTGAGGTGGCTGCTGTAAAAGCAGTTGAGGAATTCCCTTTCAAGCTGGTCCTAACTGTTGATAGACTTGGGCTTGAGGTCGGTGTACTAGTCAAAGGCATTACCTTCTAGCATTACTGCAAGTTTCGATGTAATGGGCAATATGTTGTTTAGGATTGCCCTTTCCATCAAATTGCATGAATTTTAGCAGCTGATAACCCCTTGGCATCCTCAAAGCGTCAATCTTCTTGGAGTATGACTTTGATTACAACACGGAGTCGTGTGAGCTTCCTTCGTACTGCGCCTTGATCGTGCTGGTGACCATCTTCTGTAGTTGCTGGATAGAGAGAGATCCCATGAACGTTGTTGCTTGGTCCACTTCTCCTCAACTTTTTTCCATCAGAAGCTTTTCATCCTCGTTGGTTTCCTTCTTTTGTATATCAACCTTTAGTTCGCAGTTAGCTTTTTTGTCGTGCTACGCCTCCAATCGGTTGACGAACGCGGCAATTAACAAGTTATTTTCCTCCACGATCCTTGTTAGCATTGCAATTGCTTCATTCATTTGAGCTAGCTGCTCCTCGATGGAAGTCACACCAGTAGTCATAACTTGCATAGCTATGGGATACGAGGTGCTGCTTGAGTCGGCATCAAAAGTCAATGACTCGGAGTACCTCCTCAGGCTTTCTTCCTTTGGCGCCCTTAGCAAGGCCAAGGTGATCACACATTGGTGCCTCAGGTGTTTTTGCTCATTCGACAGGTTTGGTGTAGGGGTGGAAGGCACGGCAGAGAGAGCACTTGCCTTGCTTTGGGTTTTAAAGCCTAAAATGCCACCACTTGTGGTAAGGATGTTCTTGTTCTTCGCATTGGTTGCGGCAAGGATGTTCTTGCCATTTGTGCTTCTTGTGGATTTGAAGACAGAGATGAGAGGCGGAGATGTCCCACCAGGCGTGCCAAATCTGTAAACATGAAAATTATGTATCGAATGAAACAAGAACACGTGTACAAAGTAGATTTGTATTGATGACTTTATAGGGTTACAATCTCTGTTTACAACTTTCCTCTTATTCAGTCTTTAAATTTGATGTAAATGGCGTAGGTTGTTGATCTAAGGGTCGCGATGACTTGATCTCGGACGAATGATTGAACGATTGCTTCAAGTTTTGAGCTTGAAACAACGCTTGGATGGTCTTCACCTTAAAGCTGCGACAAAGGTAGTGTAGATGTGAGATTTCATTAATTCAAGGGTCTTGGCGAATTGATTTTGAATCGAACGTTTGTTACAAGTTTTGAGCTTGCAACAAAGTCTTGAAGGAATCGGCGCAAGTACTTGTTGATTCTTCAAGGGAATGTTTCGGCTTTGGTCAAAAAAAAGCTTCGCCTTTGGTTGTGCGTTCTTCGAAGAGAGCTTTAGCAGCATATTAGTCTTCAAAGATTTGGCAGAAATTCTCCCTTTCTGAAAATTTCAACCCTTTAATGTAGAAATTGTCAACCTTATGCTTGTCTTGGGACCTTGTATTTATAGACTTCCAAAGCCATGCCTTTGGATGGATTTGGCTCTGATTTGTGTCTAAATTTGTCCATGGGAGAATTTAGGCATGTTTTGTGTCTTAATTTCAGCCACTTTCCCTTGCTTGGCCTAATTATAGGGTTTTCTTGCCTATTTTGTGAGCAATCTTCAATTCTTGCTTGTTTTGTGAAGATGTTTTAACTTTCTTTCCGGTTTTGGGAGCAATTTGGGCCCCTTGCCGATTTTAAAGGATTTCTTCCCCTTTTTGCCGAGTTTTAGGGAAGTTTTATTCTTCCTTTGCTTGATTTGTGCCACATGTCATTGATGACTTATCCATTTGTGATAGGTCATATGCTACATGGAACTTTGTAGAAACTCCAAGTTGGAATCTCGTAATTCTGGGAAATACCATTGAAGCCAGAGCTGCACCATCCAGATAACTTTATTGACGTTCGTCTCGAAGGGCTAGTGCCTTGTCATCTCATAAAGCAGATGATAGAGATGTACCAAAACAAAGGGACCGGTGGCGACATTGTCGAAGGAATGCAGCGCCTCCACCAAAGGGATCTATTCCAACTTCACTTATTTGAATTTGTTGGGGAACACATGTTTGTTCAACCAATATAAGATAAAGTACATGTGCTTCTCAGCTAGGTCAGCAGTGGGGGAATACGGGTTGAACATATTCTTGGGAAAAGGGATGAAGCTCACGAAAGAGGTCTCATAACTCTTAAAGGTGGTAGAGTTATACTCTAAGCTGGTGATAGACTGAGAAGCTTCTAAGCCTTTAGCAGAAGGATGTAAGGGTGATGACCAATCGTGTGTAATGTCTACACACCTGCCCAATGACCTGAAACCAAAGACCTAAGCCATATCTATGATGGTGGAATACATGGGACCCACTCTGAAATCAAAAGTATTGGTCCCTGTGTTCCAGAAAATGAGAGCTGTTGAGAGAAGCTCATGCTTGTTGGGCATAGTAGTCTTGGACATCATGATAAGCTCATAGATGTCATTTGCCATCCATTTCTTCTTCCATATAGGCTCTTATTCATCCACCCACTTGGACTAGGCTTCATCCTTCATTAAGGGGAAACCCCGAGACCACTTTGAAGCAGAGATTTCTACCTCAGCAGTGTAAGGATTGGGAGTGAACCAGTTGGCAACGAGCATGTTGCTTTCCACAACAACAAGAACTCTGGAAGTCTAACCCGAGGACCATGAAGGTCATTGAGCTGACAAGAAAGAATGACAATTCTTTCTCCAACATGTAGGGTATGATTTAGGAGCCATTGTTGAATTCGATAGCAAAAAGCACTTTTCAAGGGCATGGATAGGTAAATAAACGATGACTCACCATGTTCTGGAGGCCATCACCAAAAATGGGAGGCTTAGACAGTCAGGCTAGAGAGTCTATAAAAGCAATGAAAGACATAAGGAAGAAGGACACTCAACTAATCAATCAAAAGACATCCAACTTTGCACTCCAACAAGCACGAAACGAAAAAGCTTTAGTTTGTTCAAACTTTACCCTTTTAGTCGCAAGTCCACCATAGAAAGCCATCTTTTGTCAAGTTTTAGAAGCTCTGCTACCTTTCCCCTGTGTTCTAGTAAACCCGATTTATATTTCATTCTCCAAAGATTACAACCCCTGTAAAACACAAAGATAAGTGGTTGCAAGAAGACAAATCTTGCCTGACAGGGTCATAATCTTGCCCGAGTCTCTTTGTTTGTACTTACATAAAGTAGATATGTTGTTTTATGCATCTTTCATTGTATCCTATATCATTTTCGACTGGTTTTTGTTCAAAATTTCATCTATGATTAATCTTCCTAAACTAATTAATCTTGCTTCTTTAGTGTTAACCGTAACCAAAGAAATAATTTGAAGGGCCCTAAACTCTCTTTAATTGGACATATGATATTATGAGTAAAAGTCCTTATTTACAAGGCAAGAAAAAGAACTTTGTACAAAGTCTAAATAACTTGTGGCGCAAGTAATTAACCCATTTAATAACCAAAAAAGAACAATTTGTTATACAAAGATAACGGTGGCATGCTCAGACCCATATTAGTTTTGATTGTAAACCTCAAGGCCTAAGAAATGCCCCACAAAGGCACCATTCAAACTAATAACAAACTCATATTGCAATACACCAAGCAACAAACCTTGCCCGACAGGCAAGAGCCAGGGGAATTATGCGAGGGACAGATCTAGCCCTAACACGATTGTTTTGCTCTTATATGTTCCTTTCTTGTTAAATCTACTTATCTCGTGAATGAACGAAAGTTCAATATAATGTCTTTGAAACTCAAAAGATTATAGTAACAAAACATATCCAATTGGAAACTACATATTCTTTAACAGTTTCACGACAGAAAAGGTAAAACTTATACAAGCTACCCGAATTTCTGAAAATCTTGCTGCTTTTGCCAAACTTTGTAATTCTCTCTCTATTCTCTCATTTCCCGACACATTGGTATTCATTCGATACACATCAAACAGAGACAAACTTTTAGCAGAAAGACTTGTTTTAGGGGCTTCTTGTATCACCATATCCACCACTATAACTTTTCCGTTGTCTAGCAAGGCCTTATAGCAATTCTTCAATATCATCAAGCATCAATCGCCATCCCAACTGTGTAGTATCCATTGTTAATAAAATCATTTACATTAGTTGAAAGTTGTCGAAAGTGTAACTAGTCAAATGATATTGGGTTCGATCAATTTGAACACGAAGCTTAAGTGTAGGGGTAAACAAGCTAGAGTGCCCACACTTTTATTGAAATTTTTAATTCAGCCAAAGTCGATGTTTGCTTTTGAACATGCTTTGTAAATAAGCAGTTGAATAATTCTTAGAAGCCTTACCTTCATGAAAATGGCATCACCTTACGGAATCCTTATAAACATATCTCCTGCAATGTGCTCTATACATGTAGCAAAACTCCTCTGTAAGTTAGCAAAGCAAAGCAAACTACAAAAAGCTACATGAAATTGACCAATGGTAAGCAAAAAATTTATATCATACCAGGATAGAAGGGAGACTTTTTGACAACCAAAGGCAAATCATAGTTGATGCCCTTGATGGCAGGGTGCTTGGGGATTATCCTGTTAAGAATAGTACCGTCGCCACCACCCACATCTACCAGTGTACGTAGACCTTCAAAACCCGTATAAATCTCCAGAATCTCCTTCTTAAAAATGAGGTTAAACACTTTCATTGAGTCCTTGAACACACCACCAAGTCTGTCATCCCTACCAATGTAATCCACCACATTCATACCATAGGCCTTGCTAAATGGGAGTCCTCCTTCCAAAACTGCATCTTTCAAATGGTACCTGCATAAACGATGACATATGAAGATGACTGCACTGATGCAAAAGAAATGAACTTTGTTCGATTCTTTACTTGCAAATAAATCATTGTTTGATGCGTATAGATAAATTACTCGTTTATAACACAACATGAAAAGTTTTTGCACACGTGTCAGACTGTAAGTTAAAACAAAAATGATTAAATTAACAAGGTTTTGTAAAAGGTTGTAATAGTACCAGCTATCTAAGATGACCTTGTCATGGCAAAAATTGAGCAATAGTGCCAGAGACACACCATCCTAGTTCTTAATAAAGTACTTGGAGACAGGTGCCAACCCATAAACCCTAATAACCTTCCCATTAGCTTGGATTGTCGAGCAAGTGAGAACAGAGTAAGCGGAAAGAAGGCGAAGCATGCCATCAAGAACCGACGTGGCATCCAGATTGTGGAGAGTTAAAAGCTGAGACGCTATTTGGGAAGGCAAAAAAAGGGCTCCGGCGCCAGCTCTGTGGATAATGTCAAGCACACCAAGCCCTGTGGCTGCTTTAAGCACCATAGGCAATGCTGATACGTTTGCCAATTGCATAGCATATTGGGAGTCAACTTCCTTTTCTCTATTAATGGTGGACATTTTCAGCAGTTTTTTTCCTTGTTTTGGAGTTCTTATTTTTTGTTTCGAATGCTTGTGTATATTGTTGTGATTTTTTTTTTTGTTTGGAATGCTTGTTTATATTGTTGTGAAATGTTAAATAGGCATGAGAGGTGAAAAGGGTTTTCAAATTCATCACGATTCTGAATTTGTTTGGTTGCTAGATGAAGAAATTGTGCATGAGACTAATCAAAATTGCATATATTATTAGTATAAAAAATACAACCGAAGAAAAAGGTAAGAATTTTGAGAGAGAGAGAGAGAGAGAGAGAGAGAGAGAGAAAGAGAGAGAGAGAGAGAGAGTGGAAGGCAATTCAAGAAATGTGGACGAAGCATCGCTTGATAAAATTGTATCCATGGTAGTTTCATAAATTGCAAAAGTGACTTTTGAATTTGGAAGTTTGCTCGGCATTTAGGATGCGGCTCTACAATTTTCCTCTCCATGAAGGTTGCAGAACATCGAAAGGGTTTCAATTTTGGGGGTGATTGGTTTAAATTAAAAGGGTGTTTGTGTCTATTCAAGTGAACATTTTGTTATATTTGAAAGTTTATATAAAAACTGACATTTTTTAAATTAAGACAAATTTTGGCTATTAATGATAAACACTCATTTGATTGCACCATTTTATATTTAAAGTTGGTTTTCTTCAAGGAGACGAAATCATAACACAAGGCAATGTGTTAGTGGATGGAGTAAGGAGCTCCTAAAGTTATGGCATTGGAAGTAGGATTCTCTCCCCTCTTAGTTTCCCTTCCCTCCCATCATATTTGAACGATTATGGTTAGACTATGTGTTGTGTTAATTTTTTAATAACTAGAAGAAGATAAAAACAATTTATGAGAGTATGGAAGAGAAGGGATGGAAAAAGATGAGAGAGAATCCGACACCATGACATTAATTAAGCCAAGTATTGTACAATTCTCAAATAACTTTATTATTGTAGCAAATTCAAATGGACATCAACAATATCGACATCATTGTGATACTTTATTGATTCTAATGTAAATTACATACCTTTTATTTTCGTATTTATTCTTAAACTTAAAAATGAAATGAAAAATAAAAATAGTTTCAATATCTATTTCAGATAAATAGACATACTACTGAAACACTCAAACTAAAGTAGACCATTTTTTGAGGTCATTTGTGTACTTGTCCAAAGCTAGTGACATGAAATTGCACGCACATGTTCAAATGGGTTTAAACAAGTCTAAGCAGCACTCAGTTGCAAGTCCTTTATTCCAGAATTTCTCATAGTACTCGGCATATGTGAAGTTTCTGTACATGGCTGGGTGGTCATAGTTGATGAGCTCCTTGGCAGGCCCAATTACTGCATCTGGTGATGGACAATAGAAAGTTGGGATCGATATTCTCTCTGAGTTACAATTTACCACAGCTCTATGGAGTACACTCTTGTACCGATTGTTGCTAATTACCTGATACCAAATAAAATGGTAAAAAGGTTAAAAATCAATTACAAATTTTACTCCTGTGTTACAAAACTTTGTCCCTCTACTTGGACAAGTCCCCCTTGCTAGGGAGAAATGAGCTTAATTATCTCGAGAGTGATGTCATCATCTATTATTTCACGTCTCATGTAACTAATCAGGTGAGAAAAAAGACAAAGAAGTCAAGATTTCACGCCGTGGGGGTATTTTCCAATATGCTCCTAGAATTTGTATTCCCCAGATGATCTTTTGTTTGATAACATACACCGAAACATAATAAATGCAGGATATAGAGTTTACCTGCATCATATCCCCAATATTGACAATGAAAGTGTTGGGAATAGGGTTGACAGCAACCCACTTGCCATTTCTAAGGACCTGCAATCCAGGCACTTCATCTTGGAGAAGGACGGTGATTAGGTTGGCATCAGTATGTCCAGGCAATCCATAAGTCAGCTCTGGTTGAGGACAAGGTGGATAGTAATTCAAAGCCATATGCTGCCCTTGCTTCCCCAATGCCTTAACAATACAGTTCTTTTCCAAGCCCAAACTCTCTGATATGGCCTCAAGCAATCTCAGCACCAATCCTCTCACATTTGTGCAGTACTCACCCACTTGCTCCCTGTGAACAAAGTACAGCTCATTCAGTTGTGTGACTTAGATGTAATTAATTAGAAACAAATGAACTTGTCTATGACGATGCTCTCCTGTTAGACTGGAACTTAGATCATTGGTCAGTTTGATATTTGACAAGATTTATATATAGTTCATATTCAAAGTTCAACAAGATGAGCATTTGTTTAGCAACGTAAGCCTGACTAAAGAACGTTAGTTGAGATGATGACAAAAATGTGCCCTTATTTAACTAAATTAATAAATTTAATTGGACAATATTCTCTTGTTAGACTGTGTATGTGTGCTCAGATTCACATCTTAACAATATAATAAGTCTGGTTAGAAAACGCTAGTTGGTTTGAATATTAAGTACTAGCATAAGATGATGAAAAAGAAGGCATCGTTATTTACCTGAACAATGGGGGATTGTTAGGCCATTCTTGGACATAGTCTTGAAGAGGGTAGCAATGGAGCCTAAGGAAGTCCCTCCAATTGGACAGTTTTTCAGTCCTGACGTTAAAACTGGTGGAGAGCCTGGTTGTCTTAGAAGGGTCATCTGAGTACATCTTCAACCTCTCGCTCTCTGGTAATTGGAAAAACTCTCTTGCTATATTCAACATGTCTTTTATCATTATCTCTGGAACTCCATGATTTTTCACCTAATATAAAAAGGTTGGTGCATAATTTAGTAGTAATATATAGTAGTACTCATATTCATACTACACATGTAATTAAGTATAATTAAGTATAAAGTAATGGGATAATATGTATATAAGGAGAAACAAAGGCACTAATCAATAGGGTATGCAAATGGAGAAAAGAGATGTGCTAATCATTTGCCAAGTTTATACATATATATATATATGTGTGTGTGTGTGTGTGTTAATTGTTACCTCAAAGAAACCATCAGTCTGGCATGCTAGACCAATCTGTTTGATAATATCCGAGTGCGTTGGGCCATGGAGGTCCTTGAGATCAATGAGAGGAATGGAGGAGGCATCTGATACCTGAAAATCAGTGAAATTTGGACGATCGGAGATGGGTCTGATGTAGTTTGAAGGGATATGGTTCACACCAGACATGAGGTCTGTAAGCAGTAGGTTTGTTGTGGTGGCCATTTTGCTTACGACTGAAGAGAAAAGTTGCAAAACTAATGAAATTTGTAGGTTTGGTGAATGGGACTTTGGATCCCTATCCCTATTTATAGAATATGAGTTGGGGGTTTGGCTGTTCTAGTTGTCAGATCGGCATGCCCCCCACATTCTCACTGAGAAATTAATACGAGTGGTACATTACGTGTTTTTATGTAAGTGATGAGAAATTTTATTTTTTAAGTTATTAACTTTTTAACTTACATATCTCACTATTTATATAGTGAACCGTGATGTACCACCTCGTGTGCCGGTCACACTAAAAATCTCTCCTCACTATGGACTGCAGACAGATTTGTCTGAAGGAAGCAAATGACGTCCTTCTGCTATGTCATTCTCTAATGCAATTTGTTAGTTTCAAGGAATACTAGCCTTTATGGACACGCTCACGCTTGTATAGAAGGCATTTTTTGAATCAAGGTGTGCTACGCACGACTTACACATTTTAAATGTATTTATATGCATGAATTGTTTCAATAATTTTTTTTTTTTTGACAAAAAGAAAGTCAAATATTTGAAGTAAACGAATAATATTCGACTATACTACAAGAAATCTCTCATAAACCAATCAAAGCAGTTGAATCCACATAATAAAATCGATCTTTCAATTTTCATCTACATTTTATTGAATTTACATTAAGAATAGAGAAAATAATATTTAATAAATAATTCATTAAATTACATTATTGTTAACTCATTGTGAGGCTAAACACATCCCCCTCCCCTTAGTGTAGAAAACATCGTTTGTTCAAAAAAAAAAGGTCATTTGACAACTAATTGAATCACGTTATTATGCGCGTGCGAAATACCATTTTTATAACTGCCACTATGTGCCTCTTAAGTGTTTAAAAATAGAGAAAATAATACAACTGATTGAATCACATTATTGTGCGTGTGTGACAGACCTTTTTTATCACCGGCAATACGCGGCTCTTAAGATGTTTAATAAACAACTGATTGAATCACATTATTGGTAACTCATTGTGAGACTAAGCCCACCCCCTTCCCCTTAGTGTAGATAATATCGTTTGTTCAAAAATAAAAATCATTTGACAACTAATCGAATCACATTATTATGCGCGTGCAAAAGACATTTTTTATAACTTGCACGACGCGCCTCTTAAGATGTTTTGAACGTGTTTAAAAATAGAAAAAATTATATTTAATAAACAACTGATTGAATCACATTATTGCTAGCTCATTGTGAGGCTAAGCCCACCCTCTTATCCTTAATGTAGATAATATCATTTGTTAGAAAAAAAAATCATATGACAATTAATTGAATCACATTATTATGCGCGTGCGAAAGACCTTTTTTATAACCAGCACTATGCGCATCTTAAGATGTTTTGAACGTATTTAAAAATAGAGAAAATAATATTTAATAAACAACTTATTAAATCACATTATTACAAGTCTATTGTGAGGTACTAATTATGAGAAAAAAAATATACAAAAAGAATTAATTATTAAAAAACATTGTTTATATGACGAAAATACTCCTACATTATTTTGGATTGCTTTTGAATATTTTTTTCTTTGGGGAGCATTTCTATCCACTTTTTTTTTTTTTTTTTGTGAAACCCATGACCCCAAAAGGAGTTGTTGGTTTTATATATAAGATTTAATCAGATGTCATATTGGGGAGTTTTGTTCTGAAATGAGAAAACTTACGGCTGAAAATATTTAATTTAATTTAACATAGTTTTGTTTTTTTATTTCAAAAGCTTAAGAAAATTTTGAATAAAGCCGAAGTGTGCATAGCTAGAGAGATGCGTTTTTCTCGTCTTCTCAATTTTTCTTTCACCCCAATTGTAGTATGCATTGTGACATGAAAACTGTAACAAGTTAATAATTTAATTAAATTATTGTTATATTTTGTGAGTAGAGAAATTTGAATTTAAAACGTATATTGATTTTTCGATGAAAAATATCAATATAATCATTAATTACACGTTTCCTTATATAATGAATCCAGAGATCAATCACATTGTAGTTGAATGAATATTCATAAATCGATAATAATGGGCGGGTGTATAGAATTGACGGAAGAATAAATATCAGAAAAATGAGTAGTCTTGACTGATGTGCATGTCAATGTGCTGGCAACACCCCCGGTGAGTTATAGTGCACCACGAGGAGATAGACAATGGAAAACGAGCTGGGCAACTAGGCAAGAAAATAATTGGGCTGCCCCTCACTTAGTCTTAGTCAGAAGTAAATTACCATAAGAAGCTGATCAGCTGTGTCGACAGCTAATATGAAATATTCAATGATGCAATCAAAGTGACATCACAATATCACACGTCATTCCCTACGATCTTCATGATGTAACCTAGTAGTCTGCATCCGAGTCACAATAAAAACGAAGACAGAGAAAAGAGACAGAAAAAATCAGAGGGTACCAGTGTTCAACAATTTAAAAATTAAAATTTAAAAATTAAAATTTAAAAAATTAAAAAATAAAATTAAAAACTCAGCCGGTCACCCAAACTTGTGACACGTTCAATAAATCTCTCTCGCCTGTCTTCTTTGTCCTCCCTCACTCTCCTCCAACCCCGTAGCACTATCACCACACATGCAAGAACCACAAACCTCTTAAATTTGTGCCATTTTTATTCTTTCTTTGGGATGAAGTATGCAGTTTATAGAGGGGAACAAGGGAGATGCCAGCGGGTATTGATTGTTACAGGTGAAGAAATGTTGAGGTTTTATTATTAGGTAATGCTTAAGAGACTAAATTTGAAGATAAAATTTGTAAAATAAATTATGTGTAACTAATAGGAGGACAATTGTCATAGGATCAAACTCAAATGTCCTTAGACTATTGATTACTATGCGGTAATACCAAGAGAGATATAGCACATTAAATGAAGGAAGAGAATTTGTTTCACGTTTTATGACTTGTCTAGAGGAATGAATCCTCATTTTATAGACTTCATCATGCATTTTCCATAAAGTTGTGAGACTCATCTGAATGGTCTTATCCTTTTATGATAAGACACATTACTTATAGAAAAGTATAACTCTTATAATAAGTCATACATCTTATCACACCCTTTGGTTAAATGTATATCAGTACACCAATCTTATGGTGCACCTCCAAACATCAAATACACACGTATATTGTAAAGCCAACATCATCATGATTGTATTCCAACATCTCCCACTTGATCTTGATGATTTAAGGTCTCGTTGGCTACACAAATTGGATATCATTATCGAGTATCAAATCCTGATTACTCTTGACTTTCCAACTGTAGTTTACAAAGATTTGTAAACTATCATTAATTCATCGTTCAACTTATACGTGCGCATGCTTTGACCACTCGTTCAAGTAAATTGGCACCATTACTCTTTTCTAGGAAAATACCATCCATATCTAGTATTAATGACGACTTCAGCCAAGTCCAACTTGACCTGCATTGAAATTTTGATCAAGTACTTCCTCCTAAGCCAACCTAAAGGCTTTCATTGGTACACCTGATCAACGCTTTACACACTATGCGCCAAGATGTTATACAAATTCAACTTGATGTCTATAAACAGATTTTACATATAATAAGATCTGTTATAACTCCGTTACCTCACTAGTGCCCCTCTATCTTTTATCCGACCAACAAATCAGATAGAGTCGCATCAAATTGTTCATTTCAGGCTTCCCTGAAATTCCTCCAGTGATGCCCATACCGCATGCTCCGACTACAACATCTAGATGATTCCAACTTGTTGTCACATACTCCTCTGAATAACCTTTCAGAGCAATGCTTTGGTCATAAGATCAGCCGCCATCTTAGCCGAGGGTGTGTGGTCGACTCTCACTTCATCCCTCTCCACTATAATTCCATATAGTGATACTTTATATCAATGTGCTCTCCTTAGGAACTAACAATTCCTAAAAGATGGTGGACTTTTATCATAAAACGCATTGACATAATTCCTAGGAATACAAGCAATATATCAATAAACATTCACCCTGTATTGCAGTATTTATTGGCCCATATAATAACACAACTTTGTTTCTTGCAAAAATGCACTATAATAGAAAAACACATAATTATTACTTAATTCAATGAATTCCATACCTTGAGTTCTTGGTAACCCTGTTGACTTCTTGTCGACGTGCTTGATTAAAAACATAATCATATTCTTTGATTATAATAAACAGAAACAAAGTCTGTTTGGGTCTCCCACTGAAATCCGAAACAATTTTTCTTTGGGTCTCCCATTAATTGCTTAACCTCTTCAAAATTGAAACCTTTAACTGCTATTCAAATCTTGTTGACAACTTCTTTTTTCTTTTTCTCTCACTGTTCTAATTACTACTATTAGAACCTAGTAGCACATCACTAACCATATCATTGTCATGATCACTGATAATATCTCTCTCCCACTTGATCATTTGACAATGTCTTGGTTTTAAACCATTTCTTGGTTACTAGTGGAACTTTGTGCTTCCGTGGGTTTTCTTTGATACATTATTCTTAGTATCATAGTAATTATACTATTAAGTTGAACACTTATACATAAAACATATACTGTTATTGATAGAAAATGTGTACATAACATAATCTTACACCTTGCACAAAAATATAATATTCAGTGTGTAGTAAATATAGCATATTTGAATAGATTGAAAGAACCAAATCCTTGGGCATATCATTGTTCTTCCTTTGCTTAGGACAACTATGTTGAAAATCAACATCAGCCCAATTGGTGTGGCCTAAGACAAGTGATCCAATCCAAAACCAATGCATGCAAAAGCTAGAAAAATCTAGCAATCTTTGTCGGCAAAAGTAGCTGGAAGATTCCAGCAATTTAAGTTGGTTATCCACCTAAATATCTAAGCTAAAGAATGTATTAGAAGCTAGGAGAACTCAAAGCCTTTTAGGAAAGCAAGTCGGTTTGTTGTGTGTGTAATAATATGCTAGAAAATTCTAGCATTATTTATGTCGGCAACCACACCTATAAATAGGTGTGTGTGTGTGTGTGTGTGTAAGCTCGTAACAAAGTGTGAAAGCAATCAAGAA